CAACATCAGGCCTCTACAAACATACATATGTGACAAGCACATATATGTGTCCACACACATGAAAATATACACCTGCGTGCATAACACACAGACATAAACAATCATGTACACGTACACACACACTATTTCCTAAACTGACTCTAAATAAATAAAATTTAAATATTAAGAAGAAATTCACACGGCTGAGCAGATGGTTCAGCAGTTAAGAGCACTGACTGCTCTTCCAGAGGACCTGGGTTCAATTCCCAGCACCCACATGACAGCTCACAATTGTCTGTAATTCCAACATCTGACACCCTCTTACAGACATGCATGCAGGCAAAACACTAATACACATAAAATAAATTTTAAAAAAGAAGAAATTCACTTGTAAAGTTTCATCAGAATTCTAAGTTCATATAATACACTTGCCACAGATGCCTCAATTTATAATCACCTACATCTCTTACAAATGAAAATCATGTCAGTCCAAAGGCCTGTACTTGGTGCCCTGGCAATTGCTTTCTTCTGATCATGTCACTGTGTCTACAGAAGAGGACTGTAAAGCAGTAATTCTGAGAAGTCTGTTATTACTGAGCTCTGTTAGTAACCTCTATGGACGGGCTGCTACTCATCTCATGTGAAACTGCCTTCAACCCAGGAAGGAGGGTTCTTGGGCTGCAGACTGCCTGGCATTCATCAGACTTCAAGTATTTACAGAAGCATAGGTTTCTGTAGCCTTAGAAACCAGACAGACAGATTTTTCTTACCTCTTCTCTGGGTACTAGGAACAGAACCTAGAACACTGAACACTGCACAGAGAAGGCAAGCCTCCTTACTGAGCTACACCCCAGCCACACCCCAGCTCCTCTAAACTCTAATTTTATATGTGTTTATAACCAAAATTTCTCATACAGCTGCCCAAACAAAATAATGACTAAATCGAACTAGAAAACATAATAAAGTGGTTAAGAGTCCAGACTTAGAAAAAACAAACAACTTTTTATTTAAAAAAAAAAAATCGTAACACACAAAACGGCCATATCATGAACCCCATACACTCATTGCCCCGGCAGCAAATGTGTTTCAGGAGCACCCTGAAACCTAGCCCCTCACTGCAACAACACTGGCTTTCTCACAATCAGTGCAGGTTATTATGAGGCTAACGCCAGACTCCATTTATAATGAATCCAATAGTCAGGAGGGCCCAGACTCTGAGTTAGACAGACATGGAGTCAAGTTCAGGCTGTGTCATCTACCCTGGCTGGCCATTCCCTTAATTTTTTAGAGGCTGCTTTTCCTCTGCACACATGTGGCAGCATTCCTGCTTTTCTAGATGGCACTAGCCGTGAACTGGGATAAGAAGGCATCAGAAGAAGGGAGCCTGGAGCTAACACAGAAAATAGCAACTTCATGTCAACTAGGGTGTGATTACCATGTCCACAGCTCACACAGGACAAAATGGGCCAAAGCCTACTTGAAAAAAGCCCACAGAGAGTTCAACCTCCTTTCCCTGAAAACAGGAACAGACCAAGAACTCGCACCTGCCCCCATCAGAAAGCAGGGAAGAGCAACTGTGGTAGCTGAGCAGCAAGGGCTATTCTATTGGAAGCAACCGGTACTTCCCATGGCAGCAATGTCAGTATGGTAACTTAGCCATTAGAGATGGGATTTGCCCATTAAACAAAGGGAGAGGCTCCTTCCTACTCTCTACTGGCTACACAATCTGAGGAAGGCACAAGCCAGACAAGTCAAGGTTTCCTCTTTACAAGTACGAAGTTAAAACTCAAGTCCTGAAATTAGACCCATCTTGTAACTAGGACTAGCGAGAAATCATGTATAGAATCTTAAGTGTCAGAAAAACCTATAGGATATATATTATAGAAGCCACGTGTGCTTTCCATCCACGGCAATGGGGACACAGAATGAGCTCAAAGGTGGAACTTGCTTGCTGCCCTCCAACCGCAGAGTGAGAAAAACCTTATAGTGTTTATAGGCAGAGACACGAATCCAAATATTCAAGATGTATACAATGTATGATCAAGTAATGGATGATACGGCTTGTAGCTTCTAGTAGAATAAATCTAAGGTAGACCGGAAGCTAGTTTTTTTTTTCAACTATTTTCATTTCCAAATGACTGAAAACGATTAAAGAATGGCTCTAGGATGGGTTCTATTCATGCTTAAAAAAAAAGAAAAATCAGCCAGCAGGGGGCAGTGACATTTGCCCAGGAGTCAGGAACAGAGGATACAAGGGGGATGTTTTGTTTTGGTTTTTGATTTTTCGAGACAGGGTTTCTCTGCCTAGCTTTGCAGCCTGTCCTAGAACTCGCTCGGTAGACCAGGCTGGCCTCAAACTTGTAGAGATCCACCTGCCTCTGCCTCCCAAGTACTGGGATTAAAGGTGTGTGCCACCACCGCCTGGCTACAAGGGGGAGTTTTGTGCTGCAGAAGGAACGAAGAGGGAGAAAAGCCAACCATATGGGTAAAGCACTAAAACAGTGCTGACCAGGGCAAGGTCAGTTCCCATCCTGTGGAAGTTTGGATTTAATATACAACAAAAGAGACAGATAAGCAGGGCCTTCTGTAAGATGGGAAGAGGTAAGGATGCAGGAAACTTAAAGATGCTCAAGGCCCAGTAAAGCATCCTGGTAAAGGATGTTGTAAAGTCAGATAAAGCAAATTCATGGCTCTTTGAAAACTCTCACTTTAGTTATCACGAGCTATTCTCTGTGGCTTCTGAAGCATTCCCACGTTAGTTCTGGAAACTCATCCATCTGAGATCAGTATTTCTTTGTGGGAAAGAGTCATTCATTACTTTCAACTATGCAAGCACTACCTGACCTTTACAATAAAAGTGTGACTGCTAGGGCTGTGTTCTGAATTTTAAGTAGATACAAATTTATTCTTGGAAAACACCAAATGCCAAGCTGGTGCTATTTCCACTTAACTTATGAAGTGTCCAAAAAAAAAAAATGAGATTCCTCAGTGATAACAATGGCATTCCTGTGCCATCCATCTGAACATGCACAGGTCACAACCTCATTCAGAGCTTCTCACCCTCACATCCAATGGCACAGGCTCAGGACAACCCAGAGCTCTGCTTCCACACTAAGCACAACTTAAGCCAGTTTCAGAGCCCAGCACTGTGGCTTAGTCGGCTCACATTCATTTCAACAGGGGCTCTAGTGTGTTATTTCAAGTCTGCTGCCAACAAAATATAGCTGATAAGACTATTTTTTTGTGAGTGATAATGATGAAAAGTTAAAGTCTCAATTTCAGCTCTAACCTACTAAAACTGTTTGAATAATTGATTAGACTGTAAGTCAAGGCAATCAAATTTATTTTGGGTTATGCAATCACAGAACTGATTACTTTTCAAATAAAACTCCAGAGTGCCAGATTACTTCCCAGAATAAGAAGAGAGAAGTAATGGTTTACATGAGTGAGAGCGAAAGTGGATGTGTATGAGAACATGCACCAAGAGCTTGCTACAGTTTTGCTGGCTTCCTCCTGGAAGCCATAACACAAGAGCCTCCAAGCTTAAATCTATGAACAATGCTCAGAAAATCTTGCAAGACAACAAAAAAGCAAGTAATTGTGATGTATAGTTCCAGCTTGACAATTAGTCATTTAGAGTAGATTGATTTCTCAAGGTAATTTTAGAGATTCAAGAAGTACCTTGGATGGAAAGCAACAGAAAAATAACATACCAAAAAAGGCAGTTTGTTTCCCACAGTTAAAGGAGACAGATTTCTCAACAATACTCACTCATGTATCCTAAACAACAATCCTTCAAAGTAAAATACTGCTAGTCTAAATCTATCCGTGAATGAAAAGGCATCTTTCAGTTAACCATGATTCGAGTCATTTTCACAATTATAACCTACTTCAGGTGTGCCTCCCCCAGAGAACAGAGGGAACACTGAGGACAACAAAGCTAGGTGTCCCTTGGACAAAACAACGAAGATGGGATTTTCCCTGGCAATCCAATGAAGTCACCTGAACATGGGGGATGACAAGCTTCCCTTCTCATGGACAGGAGGAAGGACTTCCCTTCTTATGTGAGCCTGAAAACTAAACCAGTAACACCCTTAAAATGGCAAAGGAAAGACAAGCCCCGCACAGGGGCAGGACAAAAAAGAAAGACCAAGAAGTCCGGAAAGTGACTTTAAATGAATGTACCAGAACTAATCTACACAAACAGATGATGCTCCCTTCAAAATCATTACCTTGGAAATTAATCCTTTCTAATGCTGTTGGTATGGGCGCTTTGGAATCTGTTTTGAAGCCTGGAATTTTCCATATTCTTACAGCCAGAAATTACTTGACTTTTTACACTAAATTTAGCATCAATCCAGAGTCTTCTGAGTATTGATGCTTTTCCTTTAAAGTCCTCCCTGCTTTCTCAAGTACAGGTGACAAGTGCCTGCCTAAACAATCACTCTACTTCTCGGTCAGAGCAGCTGTGGCTCTGGACTGGAGCTGCTGGTTTATTTATCAGTCTCTGACAACGCTGTAAAGCTCAATGAGGAGAGAATTTATCACATGTCATTACTGGACCCTCAGTCCCACCCCGGTGCCTAGAAAGTTACAGGAATCCAAGAAACACTGAAAACACAATCTATCTTCAGTGTGGCATGATCTGGAATGCTGATGTCTGTGTCTATTTATTCCCCCTTCTCAGAAAAGGGAAGCATGGCCGGGCAGTGGTGGTGCACACCTTTAATCACAACACTCGGAAGGCAGAGGCAGGTGGATCTCTGTGAGTTCAAAGCCAGCCTGGATAGTTCCAGGACAGGTTCCAAAGTTACAGAGAAACCCTGTCTTGGAAATTAATAATAATAAAAAAAAGTAAGCATGGCTGTTTATCTCTGTAGAGTAACATTATCTTTTATATCCTGGGAGTGGATTTGATTACTTTTGTTACTTATTATGCACAGAAAAGAGTAAAAGTCATGAGTACATCTCCACATATTAAAACTTTACTTCTCATGCCCAGACATGCAAGCCTACCATACCTAGCTGCAGTATCTTTATGGTGTCTCTGTAGGCTTTCATCACCAGCTTGAAATGACGATAAAGTGGATAGCACAAAACTCTCCTTCCAAAAGACACCAGGATTTCAGGAACGTCTGTCCAAGTCTATGAAGAGTCATATCAATAAGTAATTTCCATAACACACATACACAACAAAAGTCACACAGTGAAAAAGGAACAATCCCAATTAAACTCTGAACCCCTGATCACTGGCACAAGTGAGATTCTTCTTGTATACCTCACTTGGTCACAGACTCACTCTTCCTCACGCTGCATCAACAGATCACACGTGTGGATTAAAGCCCATACGTGCATCAGGGACATTTTAGAGTCTTAATTGGGACAGGAATCCAGACATGGATTTGGACTTGATGGTAAAGTGGGGACAGGGACAGGCTTCCTCACTTGATAAGGAACTATCAGCTGAGATGGCTGGCAATGCTGCCGGTCCACTCTTACTACTGGAACAGTAACAGTCTCGTATGGCACCTGTCTCAGTGATGCAACTGACTCTTACCTCGTCACAGAAGGAAGTAATATATGAAGCAACCTCCACTATACAACTTAAAGTCTGCATTATCTGAACTGATGGTACGACTTTGATGTTAGACAAATTATTCCAAACTCAGAAATGTAAAAGATAACTATTTTTTAATAAATGTTATGAAAACTGTAGAAAAATTTTTAGAAAATAGAAACAAAACCAACTATCGTCACACTAAAAGAGGATAGCAGGCCAGTGGGAAGACTCCACGGGTAGAGGTAAACCTGAGTTCAATCCATGGAACCCACATAAAGGTGGATGGTAAGAACTGATTCCACAGAGTTGTCCCCTGACCTTCACATGCCATGATAAGTGCCCTGCAAAACAGTGATAGTGACAAATAAAATCTTAATGATTTTAAAGATCTCTTTCTTTATTTATTATGTGTACAGGGTTTTGCCTGGATGTATGCTTGTACACCAGAGGAGGGCACCAGATCTCACTGCAGATGGTTGTGAGCCACCATGCGGTGGCTGGAAATTGAACTCAGGATCTCTGGAAGAGTAAGTAGTCAGTGCTCTTAGCCTCTGAGCCATCTCTCCAGCCCCCAATTTTAATGTTTTTAAAAAGAGGTCAGCAGCTCTAACCATAAAATAATAGGATGCAGAACAATTTGTTTTAAACTGTATGATCTAAGTTTCTTTACATGTAAATTCAGCAACACTCACCTTACTGAGTGTTGTTCAATAAGTGTTGTTACTGAAGAACAAGATAAATAAGAGATATAAAACACGGCACGTGACTCTGGTAGTCCATTATCACCTGGGTTTGTTACCTATTTTTGAACTCTGTGTCCCATTTTACTAACATACCTGCAGTTCTGTCCACATTTTCTCAACAACCCACAGTATCCTCAGTGTCCTCCACATATTATTTCCCTCCACAATTTCTAAATGCTTCCTGATTGACTATTCCAACAAGTTTATTCTTGTTTTATTTCATTTACTTATTTATTTTTGGTTTTTCTAGACAGGGTTTCTCTGTAGCTTTGGAGCCTGTACTGGAACTAGTTCTTGTAGAGCACGCTGGCCTCAAACTCACAGAGATCCGCCTGCCTCTGCCTCCCAAGTGCTGGGATTAAAGGCATGCGCCACCACTGTCCGGTAACAAGTTTATTTTTTTTAAAGTACAATAAAGCTCCCAATTTAAAAATATTAAGAAAAAATTTAAACAACAAAAAATTGCTTGAACTAACCAAAATGAACAACAGAAAAAAAATAACTTTATAAACAACAAAAGTGTAAACAATTTCAAGTAGAACTCATACCTCAAACCAGCAGAGAGTTGGGCTCAGCTTTCTGATAGTCCACGCAGACTCGACCTTTGTGTTGAAGAAAGCAGTGTCACCATCAAAAGTCATTTGAAAATGAAACAAATATATTCACTGGAACTTGTACATGCAAAAATGATATATTTATGAATGAAGAAAAATAACTGTATTGATGCAGAGACTAATAGAAGATGTCTCTGTTCACCGTGCTTGGAATTTTGTGGAATTAATCACTTCACTAATGAGAGCATCAGAAGGTACAAACAAATAAGCAGGGGCATACAAACAAAACTGAAGCAAAATGTTTGCCGTTTCTTTCTCCACTAAATCATTCGCTGTTGAACTGCTGCTGGGCACCTGAAAACCCCATAGAAACTGCCTTTCAGAAAATGCATGTGAGATTAACAGTAGTCTAAAGCCTTGCAAAGTTGCAAGACTTCATGATTTTAAACATGCAAATAAAAGAAAAATTGGCAAATTTTATCAAGTATAACACTTTCTCTCATCGAGATTTAGTATGTGGGGCTAGAGAAAGGGCTCGGTAGTCCAGAGTACTAGCTGCTCTTGTACAGGACCTGGGTTCATTTCACAGCTCCCACATGGCGGCGCACAACCACTCAGAACTCCAGTTCCAGGGTATCTAATGCCCCTTTCTGACCGCCACAGGCACAAACATGGTGCAACATACATATGTGCAGGCAAAACCTCAAAAACACAAAATTTAAAATCTTTCAAAAAATTTAAAGGACTCAATAATATAAAATGATAAGCCTTTATTTTTTTGACTAAGTAAACATTTTATCCACTTAGAACGTCTTTAAAAATGACTTGAGGGGCTGGAGAGATGGCTAGTGGTTAAGAGCGCTGGCTGCTCTTCAAGAGGACCTGGGTTCAACTCCCAGCACCCATATGGCAGCTCACAACAGTCTGTAATTCTAGTTCCAGGGGACCCAAGGCCCATGGCAAAACAGTAATACACAGAAAATGAAAATAAATTAATTTTAAAAAGACTTGAAAATAAAGTATTTTCAGATAATTACATTCTTGATAACCCCAAGATTATTCACTTAGATGACATGCAGACTGCAAAAGTCACTTCAGAAATTTTCAGAATCATGACAACAAAAAAATGGCATCTCCAACTACTATTGACAGTAGGATGCTGTGTGAGGTAAATTAAATCACAGTGTATACGTGTATGCGCACACACACACACATGCACAGTGAAAGAAAACCAGACAAATCATCTTGTAACTGTTGTTATTACTAACTACTGGAATTATGGGAAATCTAATGATATAAATTATCTGCATAATCAAAAAGAAAAAGGAAAACATATGATAAGGCCAAAATTCTAAGCACAAGTAATTATAAATAGTGAGGCCACACTACCTAGAAAGATTTTGGTTTTCCAGCATTTACCTTTTCATTAATTCAAAGACTGGATGCACTGGTGATTGAACATGCAGTCTTTAAAATAATGACATGGGGCTGGAAAGATGGCTCAGTGGTTATGAGCACTGACTGCTCTTCCAGAGACCCGAGTTCAATTCCCAGCACCCTACATGGCAGCTCATAAGTGTGTGTAAATCCAGTCCCTGGGTGATCTGACACCTTCACACCATTGCACATAAAATAAAGTTAAAAAAATAAATAAAAAATAAAATAATGACATGACACATGGTTTCTTTAGTATACAATAAGAAGATGAACAAAAGGTCAGAGCGGGGTCTCCATTTACAGCTCAGGCTGGCTTTGATCTCTCAAACCTCTTGCCTCGGCCTGAGACGATTCTATTAAATAACAAAAAGAAATGTGATTCAAGATTTGAAAAAATGGGACTGACATACAAATCTTTTAAAGTACACACTGTATACTAAGATTCTTTTCTGCAAAAGGCTTTACTCTGCATGTGATAGATGAAGCTTGGAGAAAAACACAAGTGTGGTAGTTGGCTCTTTTGCTACTCTCTAGTGTCAAATGACACGGCCTTCCTTTCTCCCTTGGCTTATTTCCTTATACTTCTCTGCTCTGCTATCTATCTAGTAGAAGATCTACTGCCAAGAGAGAAGAGACAAGACCACAATTACTTCTGCTGGGACAGCCCCTAAGTAATCTATCACAACAGGCTCTGCTCTCAACAGGTAGCTAAGCCCTAGCTCCCCTGAGCTAACACAGTGGTCTACCACAATGACAAACACACAGACTTACATTGTGATCTCCTTCAGTGACACGTACTTCATAGCAATAGGCCAGAAGGATGTCAACTAAACTGTAGTACACTTGACGGTGAGCTGTCTTGTCCAGCAGGTAAGACTTATTTACAAATTTTCGTAGCTGATATTTTTCCTCATCTGAAAAAGACACTAAAAGAAAACACAGCTTTGAAAATTAAATGTGCCATTCAGGTTCATAAAACACCCAGTGCAGAAGATTTGCCAAAACTGGAACTCCGAATATAGAAAGCAAAATCAAAGTTATTTATCCATAACTCTACATATAAGGCGATTTCTTAAAGGAGGCTTTTCAAGCTTTATTAAGAGTTATGCATCTGTTCAAACCTTCCAGACCTTTCCTTCTACATTTCAATAGTAGTTTCTGACTTCACAAATCTTTTTCCTAGAGTTTTATTCTTATTATTTTAAATTGTGTGTGTGTGTCTGTGGGTATGCAGGAGGCTAGAGATATCATACCCTCAGGAACAGTCATTAAAGACAATTATGAGCTGTCTGACACAGATACTGACCAATAGTGGGGTCTTTTTGTCATTTGAGGCTCCATCTTTCAAAATGACTCTAGATTGTGTCAGGCTGACATAAAACTACCAGGACACCTCCCTGGACATACTTCTCACCCTGCCTGGTAACAAACTTAGCAGCACTTTTCCCATTTCTTTCCAGTTTAATGGATTTAAGTGACTGTGGTATGGAGAATTCCGAGATGACCCACAAAGAGTGGCATGATAGAGGAAGGTCATTGGCTAATAAAGAAACTGCCTTGGCCCATTTTACTGGTTAGAACATAGGTGGGTGGAGTAAACAGAACAGAATGCTGGGAGGAAGAGGAAGTGGGCTCAGAGACGCCATGCTCCCCTCTCCCAGGCAGACGCAATAGCTCTGCTCTCTGAGGCACACGCGATGAAGCTCTGACCCAGGATGGACACAGGCTAGAATCTTCCCGGTAAACGCACCTAGTGGTGCTATGCAGATTATTAGAAATGGGTTAGACAAAATATGAGAATTAGCCCGTAAGAGGCTAGAGCTAGTGGGCCAAGCAGTGTTTAAAAGAATATAATTTGTGTGTTGTTATTTCTGGTGTAAAGCTAGCCATGTGGGAGCCAGGTGGGACGAAAAGCAGGCCCTGCCGCTCCCACTACAGTGGCATCACTCCCTTTGTGGACAAGATCTTGTCACTTGGTTCTGTCCAACAGAATGTGAGAAAGATGACGGGACAGTCATTGCCATGTTCACATTCCATTACTGTTGGAGTAGAGCCAGGATACTCCTGGGGTGAGATGGCCTGTGAAAAGGCTATGTGGCAGGTACTTCTGGAACCTCCACAATCTGAAGATTGCCCCATTTAAAAGCTGGCAAGAAAACGGGGCCAAAGCTTTGCAGATTGAAGGAAGAGAATTCTGTCAACAATAATATGAGCCTAGAGAAAAGAATGCAACAACCAATACCTACTTTTCAAAAGAGATGGGCATAACTGGCTAATAAGTATGTCTATAGACTGAGACTGCTTGTTCGTTTCTGGCCACCCAGACCCGAAAAGAATTACACAGAAACTGTACTAATTAAAACACTGCTTGGCCTATTAGCTTATGCACATTTCTAGCTAGCTCTTACAACTTAAATTAACCCATCTCTATTAATCCATGCATCACTACGAGGTCGTGGCCTACGGGCAAAGTTCCGCTCTAGCGAGCATCTTTGTCTTTTGGCAGCTACTCTTCCCTCCTCTATCTGCTTAGAATTCCCGCCCTGCCCTATTCTGTGCTACAACAGGCCAAAGTAGCTTTATTCATTAACCAATGGTATTCACAGCATACAGAGGGGAATCCCACATCCTACGTCCAACCTTTTAACCTCATGAAAAGATACTACCATGTCATGATAACCACGTCCAAAGAACCACACAATCTAGTCACAAAAAAAGAGCATTAAAAGGTTTCATAATATTTTATGCAAGTTTATGATTTCATGTTGGGCTGTACTCATAGCTCTCATCCCACAGGCTAGTCATACCTGAGCTACCACAGTCTTGCAAGGCCCCAAGCAGAGGACGAATCAGAGCCAGACCTGGACTCTAATATATGGAGACAGCGAGAACACAGTATAGCGATAAGCTGTTCTACAGCAAGAAACTTAACTGTGACTCACTAATGGACGGGTACTTCAGTTAGTGCCACTGTGCTGAACAGATGGCATTATTTCCTAGTTGTGTGGGAAAACTGGGTTTGCTCTGTGAACTGCCCATCAAACTGTGTTCTGTCCAATTTTTCCTATTGAACAGTTTGGCCTGTCAAATTTTTTATAAACTTTTTGTGAATTATAAATATAAATCCTTGGGTCAGCAAGATAGCTCATTGGGTAAAACACATGCCAATCATGGTCAAGGACAACCCAAATTTCTTCCCAAGAACTCAATAAAGGGGGAAGGGAAAAAAATCAACTCCACAAAGTTGTTCTCTAACCTCCATTCATGAGCCATGGAATATATAGACCCACACACATCACACATCACACACATACACACACAAGCAATAAATTAAACATATTAAATATAAATCCCAACCAAATTCCAAATCTGCTGAGTTTGGGATACCTTTTGCCTCAGAAACTGTTTTCAATATAATTCCAACAGTCAAGAAAGAAAAGAAAAGAAAAGAAAAGAAAAGAAAAGAAAAGAAAAGAAAAGAAAAGAAAAGAAAGACAGATTGATTCTGGATTTAGAGCCTTGGTTAATGTTTTTTCCAACTCCTAAATCATATATGAATCTCTTTAAGGTTGTCTCACTTGGGGCTGGAGAGATAGCTCAGTGGTTTAAAGCACTAGCTGCTCTTCCAGAGGACCCAGGTTTCAGTCCCAGCACCCGCATGACAGTTCAAAACAATCTGTAACTCCCATTCCAGGGGATCTGATGCTCTCTTCTGACCTCTTGCAGGCACCAGGAATACATGTAGTACATGGATATACATGCATACAAAGCATTGATACACATTTTAAAAACCGTAAAAAAGCCGGGCGGTGGTGGCGCACGCCTTTAATCCCAGCACTCGGGAGGCAGAGACAGGCGGATCTCTGTGAGTTTGAGACCAGCCTGGTCTACAAGAGCTAGTGCCAGGACAGGCTCCAAAACCACAGAGAAACCCTGTCTCGAAAAAACAAACAAAAAAAAAATAATAATAACAACAGTAATATCTAATGGAATAATAAAATCTATGTGGAAGCTAGCTTTTCATGTTTCAAGACTTCACTTTATTCCAAATGAACAGTGAATCCCACTACACTGAACCACCAACTTTGTCAGACAGAATTGCTGCTTTTGTTACTTCAAAGTACTTTTGGTTTTTGTCAGCTGTTGCAAATGCAGTATTTTCCCCAATTTCCATCATTAAATATTTCATGATAAAAGAGAAAAAATATATCACTTTTTATATCAGTCACTTTTACTAAATATTGACTACATATTCTAAAACAAACACACTGAAATGCTTAAATGTTAATGACACAACAAAATGCTTTATTTACATGAAGACAAGCAAATATGAGATTTCAGTTTCTTAGTTTCCTTTGATGCCTACAATTTAAGTAATCTACTATGTATCTCTTAATATCAAGTCTTTAAAAAAAAACTCTGTATGCATGTGTCTATTTTATGGTATGTGGAAATATGTGTTTGTATGTGTGTGCAGGCACGTGGAGGCCACATGGTTGGCATCAGGCATTTCCCTCCATACTTTCCTTTTGCTGAGCCTGGAGCTTACCAATTCTGCTAGTCTAGCTAGTCAGCTTGCTCTGGGATCCCGTCTCTATTTCTAGGATTGTAAATAGATTACCACACTCACCCAGCATTGTATGTTGGTGCAGGGATCCAAATTCAGTAGCTTCCACGAGCATGGCAAGTACAGCCCCGTCATAAAATCATTCTACAGTTACACAATGGTCATGCAACATATTTTCTATTCTCTCTCACACTAACACTGTTAGTCCTCAATACTATACAGAGTCAAAAGCATGATCAGAAAGAATAACCGCCAAAACCACAAACTGTTCATTCAGTTCTAGTTCTTGTAAGCAAAACTGGCTTTATTAGTTACTTTTTTTGTTGCTATCACAAACTATCACAACCAGAAGTGGCTGACAGACGGAAGAGTTTATTCGGCTTATGGTTCTAGAGGGTAAGAGTCAATCATGGCAGGGAGGCGGACGTATGGCAGCAAGTGGGGGCAAGCACAGCAATAGAACAGGACAATGAGAGCTCATATATCAACCACAAGCACCAAAAGCAAAGAGAGACAACTAAAAGTGGAATAAGGTTATACAATTTAAAAGCCTACCCCTAGGTAGTTTCAGGACAGGCTCCAAAGCTTCAGAGAAACCCGGTCTTGAAAAACCAAACCAAACCAAAACAAAACGAAACAAAAGCATTTAATGAGCTTATGGTTTCAGAGGGTTAGAGTCAACGATGGTGAAGAAAAGACGTGGCAACAGAAACAGCTGAGAGCTCACAACTTGATCTGTAAGGAGGAGGCAGAAAGAGCTACCTGGGAATGATGTGAATCTTTTGAAACTCCAAAGTCCACTCCTAATGACACACCTCCTCCCTTGTACCTTCTAAACCTTCCCAAACAACTGTAGCAACTGGGGACCAAGTATTCAAACACATGAGCCTATGCCGGTTACTCTCATTCAAACCACCAGAGCCTAGTTTCACGCCTGGTACGACACTCTCCATGGTAGGGAGTCAAGGCTGGCACCTCTTAACATCCTGGAGTCTCGGTTACAACCTAGGCATCAATTTCACAGATTCACACAATGTCCTTTCACAGCAGGGACTCCCCTGACACATGCTGCCTGGTCTCAATGCTTCTCTAAAATCACATGAAGAATCCATGATCCCCTTACTCTTCCATCCTTCAAGCTGCCAAAGTTAGCATGGCATGGATGGCACTGCCAAGTATGGCTATCCCCAAATAAAAGTGCAACTGATCTCGCATCTTTCAAATTAGTATTTTTTAAACCATTTCCTATCATTCACTTTTAAATCCCACTAGCAGAGGAGCCCTGCTTCCACTTCTCATGCTTCATATAAAAGTTAGGTCAGAGAGTTAAGGGGATATAGTTCAGAGGTTAAGAGCATT